CTCGTCCCCCTGCCCCTCCTCCTCCTCCTCGTCCTCCTCCTCCTCCTCCTCCTCCTCTTCCTCCTCCTCCTCCTCTTCCTCTTCCTCTTCCTCCTCCTCCTCCTCCTCCTCCTCCTCCTCCTCCTCCTCCTCCTCCTCCTCCTCCTCCTCCTCCTCCTCCCCTGGTGCGAGGCTGCCGCGCCTGAGGGTCGCGGCGAAGAGGCCCAGCTCGTGCGCCTCCGTGGGCGCCCCGCTGGTCAGGGCCACGGGCCCCCGCTGCACCGCCAGGGCTGGGCGCTCGCGGGCGTGCACCGCGAAGCGGTACACGCAGACGGTCCGGCACGCCTTCAGCCCCTCCTCGGGACGCACGGGGGCAGACCGTGGTTTTCGAAAAAACACGCTCATCTCGAATGCGCGTTGAAGCGGGGCCAACCCCCCGGCCCCAATTTCAAAGTTCGGGGCGGTCGACGCGGTGGAGTGCGAGTCTTTTCGACAAAAACGCCCATATTTGCAAACCGCGGCCTGCTCCCTCAGATTAACATTGAAATTGGGGGCGCGGGGGGCGCTCTTGCGCCATCTTCTAGGCGTTGTACTTGGGATTTGTTTTTCGAAAACGCCGGAGCTACAACCCTCGTCAAACTGAACCTCAAAAGTGTCTTACGTGGCTGAACTGTTTGTGGGGAGATGCTGGACAGAGTTGCGGTGACTGTGAGGCACTTGTATGCGCCGCCCCTCCAATGTCGGTCATCATCGAACTTCCGAGTCGTTCCTGGTCAGACCACTTTTGCCCTGGCCCCGAAATTGGAGGGGCGTCTATCGACATTGAAGGGCGCGCCGACATCGCAGGGGCGTGGTCGCCATGTTTGAGGTTAATTTTGACGAGGGTAGTAGTACTATGTGCCCTTCTCGGAGGCGCGCGTCCGACCCGAACATGCAGTGTACCCATCTTGCAGTACATATCGTTTCCCGAGCGATGTGTGGCCAGAAAGCGCCCGCCACGACGCACATACCATAAGATTTCTCGGTGCGCGCGACGCACACATAGCATTGGTATGCTGGGGGGACGCCGACTCCTGGGCCTCCGCGTTCTTCTCCTGGTCGCCGTCGTGCCTCGCGGTCGCGGCGACGGCCTGGGCCAGGCCGCGCCACGCCTCCAGGTCCGGGCCCTGCGGGAGGTTGACGCCCACGTGCGCAAGCAGCTGCGCGGTGTAGGTGTAGCCGAGGCCGATGAGGTCGAAGCTCTTCAGGTGGTCCTGGTAGTCCTGCACGGCGAGCGCGCGGTCGAAGGGAGACAGCGACCGCAGGGTCAGGGGCATGCCGCTGTGGCCGTCCAAGAAGTCCTCGGCCATGCGGTACTTCCGCCCCGACCACGCCGTCAGGGTGTCCCAGTGCGCTGGCTCCATGGCTCCCTCGTAGCCGCCCGTGAGCACGGCCTCAACCACGTCGAGCACCTCCTGGCCGTGGCACTCGTGGAGGCGCTGCGACACCTCGTGCACGATGCACCGCATCAACTCCTCGTCGCGGTACTGCAGCCTGTTGTAGGCCCAGGCCGTGTTGCCCAGGTTCTGCGGGATGAACTCGGGCATGATGTCCCGCGATCGCTGGCTCAGCGCCTCCAGGGCCGCGTCGTCGCGGAACACGAGCAGCGCGAAGGCCCACACCAGGTTCGAGCACTCCTGGGGGTTGAAGTCGCCCACCTGCTGCAGCACCCTGCGGGCCATGACCAGGAGGTACTCCTCGTCCTTGTGCGCGAGGGTCGCCATAGCCCAAGTCATGTTGGCCATGTGCTGCGGGCTGAAGATGTGCATCTTGCGGCAAGCCGCCTGGCACAGAGCACTCAGCAGCGGCCTGCACGGGAACTCCAGCGTGGCGTAGGCCCACGCCACGATGGCCAGGTGCTGGGGCTCAAAGTCGTCCAAGCGCGGGAGCACCTCCTCGGCGACCGTCATCAGGAGGCACTTCTGCTGGAACTGGAACTTCGCGCAGGCCCAGACCGTGTTCGCGATGCCCTGAGGCCCGAAGCTCTTGATCCTTTCGGTCACGAGCTGTGTGAGGAAGTGCAGCAAGTTCATGTTCTTGTGGCCGAGTGTTGCGTAGCTCCAGAGCGATATCGACAAGTTCTGGTTGTCGAAATGCTCTGCCCTCTTGAAGCACTGCGCGTCCAGCACCGCGAGGGCCGCCTCGTCGCGGTAGCCGAGCGTCGCGAGCCCCCACAGGGTGTTCCCGATGTCCTGGTTCCCGACGTAGTCGTCGGCTTTGGCGACAACCTCCTGGCAGAAGCGGGCAAGGAACGCATCGTCGCGCCAGTGGACGGTGGCGAAGGCCCAGAGGACCATGGTCATGTCGCGAGGGTCGAAGTCGCGGATCTTGCGCTGGACATGCACGGACCACGCGCGGCACCACGAGGGGTCCCTGTGGCCCATCTTGGCCAAAGACCAAGCCGACAGCGCCAGGTTGCGGGGCCCAAATGTGTCCAGATACCTTTTCCGCTCTGTGGGTGGAGGGAGAAGGGAGGAGCAGAGAAGAAAAGCAGACAGAACCAAGGAGGACACAGGGCCAGTAGAGGAGGGAGGATGAGGGAGGATGGAGTAGGACGAAGACGACGCAGGTCTGAGTACACATGGCGGAGGAGGAGGAGGAAGATGGTGATGACGATGATGATGATGATGATGATGACGATGATAACGATGATGACGATACTGGTGATGAAGATGATGATGATGATGATGATGATGATGATGATGATGATGATGATGATGATGATGATGATGATGATGATGATGATGATGATGCGATGATGATGATGATGATGATGATGATGATGATGATGATGATGATGATGATGATGATGATGATGATGATGATGATGATGATGATGGTGATGTGATGATGATGATGATGATGATGATGATGCTGATGATGATGATGATGATGATGATGATGATGATGATGATGATGATGATGATGATGATGATGACGAGGAGGAGGAGGAGGATGAGGAAGAGGGCAGCCCAAAAGCGTCCGGATACCTCTCCGAGACCCTCAGCAGCTCCAGCGCAACTGCCTCCGTAGCGGCAACAATCCACCCCTTCGCCTGGGACCCTCCCCCTCCCCATGTCCCGAAGCACCGCTCTGGGGGAAGAGATGCCGCTGGAAGAAAAACCCGTGCAACACGCGTGGAGGGATCACTTTCGCTCCTCCTCCTCCTCCTCCTCCTCCTCCTCCTCCTCCCTCCTCCCTCCTCCCCTCCTCCCTCTCCTCCTCCTCCTCCTCCTCCTCCTCCTCCTCCTCCTCCTCCTCCTCCTCCTGCTCCCTTGTGGTCGTTGCTCCCCCTCTCCCAGGTGGCAGTCCGACGTCGCCCTCGTGGCTGGCGGCGCCAAGCCCCCCGCCACCTCCTCGAGACGCTCTCGTGGGCGCCGATGCTTGGGCGCCGTCCGCTCCACCGCCCCCCCCCGGCCTCGACATGCTCCTCCTCCTCCTCCTCCTCCTCCTCCTCCTCCTCCTCCTCCTCCTCCTCCTCCCTCCTCTTCTTCTCCTCCTCCTCCTCCTCTCACCTCCTCCACCTCCTCCTGCTCCTCCTCCTCCCTCCCTCCCTCCTCCCTCCCTCCCTCCCTCCCGCCCTCGGTCCCTCCCTCCCTCCCTCCCTCCTCCCGTCCCTCCCTCCTCCTCCTCCTCGCTCCTCGCTCCTCGCTCCTAAGTCTCCTCCTCCTGCCTCCTCCTCCTCCTCCTCCTCCTCCTCCTCCTCCTCCCTCCTCCTCTCTGCCCTCCTCTCCCTCCTCCTCACTCCTCCTCCTCCTCCTCCTCCTCCTCCTCCTCCTCTCCTCCTCCTGCCGCCTCCTCGCTCCCTCCCTCCTCCTCCTCCTCCTACCTCCCTCCCTCCTCCTCCTCCTCCTCCTCCTCCTCCTCTCCTCCTCCTCCTCCTCCTCCCTCCTCCTCCTTCCCTCCCTCCCTCCTCCCTCCTCCCTCCTCCCTCCTCACTCCTCCCTCCTCCTCCTCCTCCTCCCTCCTCCCTCCTCCCTCCTCCCTCCTCCCTCCTCCCTCCTCCCTCCTCCCTCCCACCTCCTCCCTCCTCCCTCCTCCCTCCTCCCTCCTCCCTCTCCCTCCTCCTCCTCCGTCCTCCCTCCTCCTCCTCCTGCTCGTCCCTCCCCTCCTCCCTCCTCACTCCCCCTCCTTCTCCATCCTCCCTCCTCCCTCCTCCCTCCTCCCTCCTCCTTCCTCCTCCTCCCTCCTCCTCCTCCCTCCTCCTCCCTCCTGCTCCCTCCTCCCTCCTCCTCCCTCAGATGACCCCAGAAAGCAAGGGCGTGCAAAGTTCGGGCCCAGCGCTTCGCGCGCAACACATCACAACTTTCAGGCTGGGTGGGTGGGTGAACTCATTTTTGTTCGTAACTCGGGCGCCGTTGTTGCAAGTGCTTCTTTCAACCGTGGAGGGGGGCACCAGCAACAGTAGGAGAAGCAGCAGGAGCAGGTTAATAGCAGCAGCATGGAGAAAGAGAAAGAACACCTGAATGATGAGGCAGAGAGGACAGAAGGGGAAAGAAGAGGGTGTGACGAGGAGCGAGCCCATGGAGGCGCAAGGAGGAGGAGGAGGAGGTAGACAGGGGAGTAGAAGGACGAACCTGGGGGAGGGGAGGTGGGAGGAAGCGGGAGGAGGAGGAGGAAACGGGAGGAGGAGGAGGAGGAGGAGGAGGAGGAGGAGGAGGAAAAGAGGACGACGAGGACGTCGAGGGCCCTTGCTCGCCCCGAGCCTCCTCCGCCTGCCCGCGGACCTCCAGCGTCGCCAGCGCCCACAAGCAGTTGGTCAGCTCCATGTTGTTGCAGTCGCGGGCGCGCTGCTTCACCAGGGCCAGGAGCGCGGCCCACGCCGGCGTCTGCTGCATGGCCTGCGCCCGCTGCAGCCCAGCGGCGCCCTCCCTCGCTGGCCGCCCGGAAGAAGGCGGGGGGGGACGCCCCGACTCCGGTCTGCCCTGCTTTCTCTGGGCGAGTTCGAGAATAGGGCGGATTGCTCCGTCCGACTTTGCAGGCTCCTCTGGTTCCAACCTCTGCTGTGCCTTCGCTGATTGTGATGATGTTCTCCGGTGATGATGATGTTGTTGTAGATGAGGTGATGATCATGATCATGATGAGGTTAATAATAATGATAAGATTGTCGATGACGATGACGATGATGACGATGCTGATGAACATGATGATGATACTGTTCTCTAGTGCTGTGCTGCTGCGAGTGTGTCAGCGCCTGGATCGGAGCATGAGTAAGTCTGGGCATTCGTGAGAGGAGATTCTGCAATATGGGTGCGCGGGAGGTCCCCACAATTTGGGCGCGAACGGGCCCATGTCATACCCCCGAGCGGCTGCTTATGAGGAGGCCCGTGGAGGCCCAAATGCCCAAATGCCACGCCTGCTACATCGAGGGGGTCATGATGCTCTGAAAACACATTCGCTTGCAGGGCCAGAACGGGCGTTTCGATTCACGACGCCCCCAAAAGCCGAGCCCCAATGGACTCGTGGCATAACTCTATTGCCATGCCTGCTGCGTCAGGGCGGTCATGGGGCATTAAAAAGGATTCATTCACTGAGCCAACACGGGCGTTTCCCTCGACACGTCCCTACTATCAGGGCGCGAACGGAACTGCGTCATGCGTCCCCACCCCACCATTGGGAGGCCCACGTGCCATTCCTGTTGCATCGCCGTCGTCCTGGGGCAATATGAAAAGAAATCGCCCTCCAGCCGAGTAACTGCTGCACAACATTGCACAACCTTTACGTGTGGTGTTACATCCACCGAAATCTCAAGCGAGAAAGACCCGTTTTGAAAAGGAATCGCCATTCATCCATGAAATTGTTCCACACCCTGATCTTATACTTGTGGCTTCAATGTGTGACGGTGTCTCTGGCGAGAGCCCCAATTTGAAAAGGAGTCGCCCTCCATGTGAAGGCGAGTGCACGCGGCGCAAAAGAGAGGACCCCATTTCGAAAACCTATTCGCCCTCCACCCGTGTAACTGTTGAATATGATTATGGCGAATGTGCCCGCAATGCCAAGGCGAGAACCCTACGGTGTAAACGACCCGCCCTCCATCCGTGTAACTTCTAGACACTTCAAGATCCAACACCGTAAACTGTGAGAGGACGGCTCAGTCGAAAGTCCAGCCCGCCCGAACGGCACATCTGATGGCGCGGCACGGAAGAGCTACTCATTCGAAAGGCAGAAAAATCGAAAAGGAGGAGGACGAGGACGAGGACGAGGGAGGAAGAGCAGCAGAAATTGGAGGAGATAAAGAGAAGAAGACCAGCATAATGAGGAGGAGGAGGAGGAAAAGGACTCGCGAAAGCAACCTGGCCCAGCGTGGGCCCTGGCAAACCCCAAACTTGGCACGCGGTCCCCCGTCTTCCGACCAGCCGACCTTGAGAGGCAGCGCGCCAGGCGGTGCAGCAGCGTGCACAAGTTCAGCACGTGCAGGCCCTCTCCGCACTCCTCGACAATGGCTAGCAGGCGCTTGTGGTCCGCTGCCTCTCGCAAGATCCTCTTGTTCGCGTGCCTCGTTGCCTCGCGGTGGGCGCTTCACGACTTCTGCTGCCCCCCCCCCCCCCGAGTCGCGCTGGGCCTTCCACGGGTTGTCTCCCCAGACATACCTCGGGTTGCCAACAAGGACCCCTTAACCCTTTGGGAGGGGACCTAATCTAGGAGGGCCACGAAAATTAGGGGTAGGGGGCCCTTTCTGCAGATGCATCAGACCAAACCGCCCAGAATGATCATCCCGAATACGAAGGCGGGGACCTCCGTGAGGCCACGTCTTCAGCGTGCTGTTCGGGCTCGGGAATGTTCCGTTCTCGGTGAATCTAGGCTTACGTCGGACCGCGCTGACCTGCACCGACCTATGCCATCGGCGAGTACGATCGGCATTTTTAACAGTCGTCGTGAGCAACCTCTGGGCGCCTGCACGGTTTCCCCCGGGGCCGTAGGCGACCCGAGAAGGGGAAGGAGGAGGAGGAGCAGGAGATGGAGGAGGAGATGGAGGAGAAGGAGGAGGAGGAGGAGGAGGAGGAGGAAGAGGAGGAGGATGAGGGAGGAGGAGGGGTCGCCTGAGCCCTTCGGAGAAACCCTCCACGCGCGCCGGCGCACCGCCGCGGTGACGCACCGGCGCAGCTCTCCTGCGTGCTGGCGGGGCGGCGCCCCCTCGTGCGCAAGAGGTCTGCAGCGTGCCGGCACGGGCGCAGGCACGCAGGGGGCGCTCGGGCGCGGCCGCGAGCCCGCGCCCGCGCTCGCGCATCGCAGGGCCAGAATGGTCCAAGCCTTTGCAGAAACAGCCAAACATCGTCGAAACGTCGTCCCATAATATGTTGTTGGCTGTTTCTGGATAGTCCCTCCGTAGAAGGACACGCCCGACTCGATCGTCATGTATGGGGCCGGGCCCCTGGGCCGCGACCGCGCGGAGACGGGACGCCTTTTCGCGGCTGCCCCGCGCGGAGCGTAGCCGTGCCACCGCGCATCGGCGGGATGATTAGCGCGCCCCGGAGAGTCTGGACCGCGGGGGCGTGGATGTGGGCACGTTCGCCGTTCGTGGGCCTATCCTGTCGTGCTCGCCGAGGGCGTGCCTGGCTCTGCCCCTGCAGGCCGGCTCGGAGCCGAGGGGCCGCCGAGCCACCGTGGTGAGTGCGTGTGTGGCAAGGCGTGGCCGAAGGGCCGATCCCCTCCCGGGCATCCTTCGGTAGAGGCGGTAACGATGACGTGGGTGGACTCCTCCTCCTCCTCCTCCTGCTCCTCCCTCCTCCTCCTCCTCCTCCTCCTCCTCCTCCCTTCTCCTCCTCCCCTACTGCGCTCTCCCCTCCTCTCTCCTCTTCCTCCTGCCTCCTCCTCCGCCTCCGTCCTCCTCCTCCTCCTCCTCCTGTCCTCCTCCTCCCTCCTCTCCCTCCCTCCTCCTCCTCACCTCCTCCTCCTCCTCCCCCTCCGCTCCTCCTCCTCCTCCTCCCCTCCTCCTCCTCCTCCTCCTCCTCCTCCTCCTCCTCCTCCTCCTCCTCCTCCTCCTTGTCCTACAGTCGGCATTGGATGAATAGGCTGGGTAGGGGGGTCCCAGACAACCGACCGCTCTCCAACGTTTTCGATGCGCGGGCCCCGGAGGTCCTTGCCGGCCGCTTCCATGGGGCCGGCTTTTCGTCCTGGGTCGGTTTTTGTCTGCCCCGAGGCCCAGGGAGAGCCCCTGGAGGCCGACAACAGCCCCAAACCTGCCGCTCCGATGATGGGCAGTCTCGCTTTTTCCACCTCTGCTGCTCTCTGGCTGTTGGCAGGCCCCGCTGGCACTGCCAGCCAGCCCTCGCACAGAGGGGGCCCAGGGCGCGAGAACAGCTGCGGCACAATGTCGGCGTGCGGATTGCGATACCCGCCGCTCCTTCTTGGGGGGGTCAGGGAGACGTAAGACTCGGGTACGAGGGACTCGGGTTGGCCTGGCGAGGCCGTCAAGGAAATGGCGAGATCCATTCTGAAATGTGACGCGAGCTCCCGCTGCAAACATACCACGAAAACTGGACCGTAAACATCCCGGACGCGCTCGCCAAAAAGCGTAGGCAATCCCGAGTTCGGCGCACTCCAGTCTTACGCTAGAGGCCTCCTAGATGGGATCGGAGTAGATGGGGTCGGAGGATCGCGCCGCATCGCCGATACATCGGCGATGCATCGGCGATTCATCGGGGATGCACCGGCGACGCATCGTCGGCGTCGGAGATGCGTCGGCGACATCGACGTGAAGCAAATCGAGCTTCACATCAAGCCGCATCGGCGGGGCATCGGCGATGCGGCGCGATCCTCCGACCCCATATACTCCGACCTAGGAGACCTAGAAGACATCCTACGAAAACTGGACCGTCAAAATCCAGGACGCGCTCGCCAAAAAGCGTGGCAAACCCTAGGTCTGGCGCGCTCGAGTCTTACGTTATGACGTTGCAACCTATTCTAGCCTTGATGACCCACAAGAATTTCGAACACCAAGAAAGTGCCGAAACTGGGTGGTTTTATCGAGTCGGGCCCTGGGAGGCGATACTCGTTCGACACCTCGCTAGTATGTCGGGCAGACACTGTCTCGAGACCTTGCTGGGTGCCCGAAATTGTCTCTGGGATGCGGTCCTTAATTAGGGTGGGAACAACTTTTTTAAGTCTCACGCTTCCCCGATTTGGGAGCGTCGGATCTCTGGGATTCCCATATTATTCCGTCGGCGGCGAGGCAGAGGCACTCCGCACCAGCGTGAGGCTGATTCACCGGGGCCACCGAAAGGCGCACTGTCCGGCGTGCCAGAGGAAGGGACGAAGACGAGTGGGATTCCAATCGCACGGGGGTGGCATGCCAGAATCGAATCGACAAGTCGGATCGGCGATCGAAATGGACCGGATCGGCGGAGATCGGCAGCCGAGTCGTGAGGAGTCGAATCGGCAGACATCGGCAGGCTATCGTAGGCCTCCACTGAGGTATCGGTATCCAAGTCGGAATCTGGAGCCGAATCGGATCGGCATCGGAAGCCATCGAAATCGAATCGAATCGGATCGGAGGCATCGAAACGAGCCATGCTTCGGCCTCCCGCAGCACGCGCCCCGCCGGGGCCGCCCGGGCGCATCTCGTCGTCGTTGTCGTCGTCGTCGTCGTCGTCGTCGTCGTCGTCGTCGTCGGCGTCGTCGTCGTCGTCGCCAACCCATGACCTCGCAGTGTCCGCTTGACGTCGGGTTCCGGCCCAACCCTAGCCTGTGCTTGCGAGCCGCGCCTGGCACATGGCGACGAGGGGCCCCCGAAAGCTGAAGAAACAAGTGAAGGAGGCGGAGGAGGAGGAGGAGGAGGAGGGAGGAGGAGGAGGAGGAGGAGGAGGAGGAGGAGGACGGGGGAGCCTCAGCCTCCCGCAGCACGCGCAGCAGCGCCTCGGGCCCCGGCGGGGGCGCCCCGCCGTGGCCGCCAGGGCGCATCCTGCGGGGGCCCCCGCCCAGCGCGGGCGAGCGCACGCGCCGCGGGCGCCGCCTCGGCGCCGCCTCGCCAGCCGCGCGCGCGCTCCTCCAGGGCCTGCGTGGAGCCTCGCGGCGCGGCGCGGGCGCGGCGCTCCTGCCTTCTCCTCCTCCTCCTCCTCCTCCTCCTCCTCCTCCTCCTCTTCCTCCTTCTTTCCACGTCCTTCCTCCTCCCTCCTCCTCCTCCTCCTCCTCCTTCTCCATTCTCCTCCTCCTCCTCCTCTCTACTCCTCCGCCTCCTCCTCCTCGCTTCTCCTCATCTCCCTCCATCCCTCCATCTCCTCCTCCCTCCTCCTCCTCCTCCTCCTCCTCTTCTCCTCCATCTCTCCTCTTCATTCCTTCCTCTCCTCCTCCTCCTCCTCCTCCTCCTCCTCCTCCTCATGCCTGCTCCTCCTGTTCTCCTTCTCCTCTATCTCCCTCCTCCTCCTCCTCCTCCTCCTCCTCCCTCCTCCTCCTCGCATCTCCTCCATCTCCGTCCATCTCCTCCTCCTCCTCCTCCTACTCCTCCTTCCTCCTCATCCTGCTCCTCCTTCTCCTCCTTCTCCTCCATCTCCATCTCCTCCATCTCCTCCTCCTCCTCCTCCTCCTCCTCCTCCTCCCCCTCATTCCTTCTCTTGATAAACAATGTCTCCCTGCACACCGAGGCCAGATTTTAGGGCTGACCGGGCGTTTCGCCAGAGACTTCCTCACCATTTATGCCTCTGAAGCTTAAAAATGACAACCGCTTTACAGATGGAGGGCGGGTGGTTTTCAAAATGTGGCTCTCGCCTTAGCGCGGCGCACATTCGCTTTGAACATTTGCAAGAGTTTCACGGTTTCCCATCATCAACGTGTCAGACATGGGTCTTTGAAAGGATTGAGGATAATGCGGGTGCAACAGTTATGTTGATTCGGTGTGTTGAAGTCCCAGGAATTGTGCTCTGGCACGACTCAGGATTGTCAAGACGCGCACAATCAGGTTGATCCGTGGCGTTGGAATCCCGAGAACAATGTTTTGGCATGCTTCAGGGTCTTCAAACGGTTGTCTTCCGAAGAGGCAGTTCCTCCAATGGAAATGAACCTTTGTAGGGGCCTATGAAGAGGGAGCTTGGAGGGAGGATTTATTCCAACATCGTTGATGACTCTTGGGTTTACACTGGTCCTCCTTCTCCTCCTCCTGCTCCTTCTCCTCCTGCTTCTCCTCCTCCTCCTCCTCCTCCCTCCTCCTCCTCCTCCTCCTCCTCCTCCTCCTCCTCCTCCTCCTCCTCCTCCTCTCCTCCTCCCTCCTCCTCCTCCTCCTCCTCCTCCTCCTCCTCCTCCTCTGCTCCTCTCCTCCTCCTCCTCCTCCTCCCCTCCTCCTCCTCCTCCTCCTCCTCCCCCTCCTCCTCCTCCTTCCTCCTCCTCCTCCTCCTCCTCCTCCTCCTCCTCCTCCTCCTCCTCCTCCTCCTCCTCCTCTCCTCCTCCTCCTCCTCCTCCTCCTCCTCCTCCTCCTCCTCCTCCTCCTCCTCCTCCTCCTCCTCCTCCTCCTCCTGCCTCCTCCTCCTCCTCCTCCTCTCCTCCTCTCCTCCTCCTCCTCCTCCTCCTCCTCCCGTGCCATCTTGTCGGCTCTTGCGAACCGATGCGAATCAACGCTAAATCGACGCTGATTGACGCTAAATCGACTCTCATCGACGTTAAAGCAGCGCTATCTCGTCGACGCCCAGACGCCATATCGACGCCAGCCGACGCTAAAGACGGAATCAAGAGGGTAGGCAAGGCTCCCATGATTTGTTACCGAACGGACGGGTCTCAAGGCCCTCTTGGGGCTCCGCGTGGGCACGCTGAGCTCTGTGAGCTCTCGTGGGGCCTCTGCGGAGCCTCTGGGTGGGAGAGCAACCACTGGACAGATGCACCCTGCCTGCTGTGAGAGGATTTGGCAACCTCATCGTCTTCCCCGCGCCGCATGGATGCATGCGCGTGGCCTGCGTGCGCGCAGAGGCACATATAAGCACATATGCAAGCTCGATGTGACCCGCCCATTAGGAATGAGCAGGATTCCGAGGACCCCGAGCTCGGGGTCCTCCTCGGACCGTTCCGGGGCCTGCTGAGCGCCAAGGGCGCTCTCCTGTGCTGGCCTCTTCGAGATCTGGTAAAGTTTTTGGGGTCCTCTTGGGTCCCTCTTGGAGCTCTCTCGGGTTCCGCTTGGGGGCCTCTTGGTACTGTCTTGTTGTCTGGGCCGTCGCGGAGCTCTCTCGGGCAGTCTTGTCGCGACGGTTGAGGGAACAACTTAAGCAACCCCCTCCCCTATCTCGCAGCTCAAAGCTGGCACGTTTACGCACGACCGCCCGGACACTCAGACTCGGAAGATCCGAAACCAAAATTACAATCGGGAGGATAGGGGAAGTTCAAACCACCTCGGACTCCTCCTCCTCCTCCTCCTCCTCCTCCTCCTCCTGCTCCTCCATCTCCATCTCCATCTCCATCTCCACCTCCTCCTGCTCCTCCTGCCCCTCGTGTCAGACTCGCTGTCGTTGGCTCGCCTTGGGCCTTCAGGACGACAGGGCTCGGGGCTGTGCGCAGACCCAACCCCCGAGGCAGAAGCCGCCTAGCCTCAAATGGCTCCCCGAGGAGTCCGAGGCGGTCTCACGGGGCGGAGCCGGGGTGCTGAGACCGCCCCAGACTCAGACTGCTTGGAGGGCCTTGTGAAGCCGGGCGGGACTGCGTCGGGGGAGGCTGTCTGCGCGCAACCCCGACCCTTACCACTTCACCATCCTCGCAGATTATGAGAGGCCTCCCAGATGGGGTCGGAGGATCGAGCCCCATATCGCAGATGCATCGCCGATGCATCGCCGATGCATCGACGAAGTATCGGCGACGTTGGCGGTGCATCGGCGACGCCGGCGTGGAGAAAATCGGGCACCACATGGAGCCGCATCGCCGATGCGTCGGCGATGCGGCGAGATCCTCCGAACCCATCTACTGCGACCCCAACTGGGAGGCAGCGCAGGAATCTCTGCAAAAGGGGTGGGGGCGAGAGCTCCGGGCTCGTGGCGGTAGAGCTCTCTGACGTCGGAGGTGTGGGGGGCATGGGACCTGTGCCCCGCCCGACGCAAGCCTTGAGATGATTGCGGATGTCATCCTACCGCAGTGGTACCCTTCGAGTGCGGCCGGACCTAGTGAGGACATAATAACCTTCGAGAACAGGAGACCACCCGCGGGCCCAAACTGAAGAGCATTCGAGGGTGCCCTCCCACGGGATGCACAAGAACATCCAGCAAGCACGGAGAACACTAGGGGTACCCTCCCCGAGCCGACCTCGACCTCCCACCTCGGCCCGACCGCACGCCGCGCCCTAAGGCCACCCGACCTCGCGCATCCCCCGCGAAACTGCGGCGCGCGGCCCCTCTCTGCGCCCCCGCGCGGCCCCCCCCCCGGGAGGCGGGCAGCGCTCTGGCCCGGAACCGCAGCGCGCGACGCGCGGCTCCCTTTTCCGCGCCCCTTCGGGCGGCCTGCGGCCGAAGCGTGCACTCGGGCGGGGAGGCCGCGAGACCTCTGGAGGCCGAAGTTGCGGGATTTGCGGGGGCGGCGGGCGACCAGTGGAAACGGCGAAGGGCGGGCCGCGGAGGCAGGGGCACCGGGGCTCCCCAGAGGGAGGCGCACGTCCTTGCTGGGCGCGTTGGCCGTGTGGCGGGTTCGTGTCGCGACGACGTCGGCGCTGGCTTCCGACACCGCGCGGACCGCTCCAGCTCGAGCGATGGCGGCCTCCTGCCGTCGTTCGGACGTTCCTTCCCCATGCGTCCTGCCGGCTTCATGCGTGCCCTGTCTCGCAAGGATGACCCGTGAGGCCCCTCGACGGTCCTCACCGAGAAACGGGGCACGCGCTCGAGCGAGTGCGGCTTTCGCATGGGGCGAAGACTGCGACTTCGGCCGATGCCGGGCCACTGACGGCGGTCGACCTCGCACGCCCGCGCCGTGGTCGCCGCCGCGTCGGCACGACCTGGTCCTGCCGCGGCCTGCCGCAACCCCCGGCAGTCTGCGGGACCCCCGGGGCCTCGGCCCCGCCCCCCGAGGGGACGGTTCCTCGCTCCGGGTCCGCTTTCGATGGCCCCGGGGCCCGGGGCTGCGGAAACGAATCTGCGGGAGGTGCGGACCTGTCGCCCTCCCGACAAGCCTCGTCAAACATAAATTGAGACGCCGTTCAAAGTCGAAGCGCCCGAGAGTTCGGGCACTTGTCAGAAAACGCTTTCTTCAACGCTGTGAGGGCAGTGCTAGATCTCGGACACCCCTGCGCGTGGGCCAAACACCTCGTGCCAGCTTGGAAGTAGCGCCGACCGCGCGACCGCCGAAAACAAAAACCGTCAAATTATGTTTGACGAGTCTTGTAGAACTAGCATGAGGTCGGGTATGTCCTCCTGCAGGCGGACTCTGGAAGAAAAATTCGCCGGCCCAACGGGCCAGATGCGTGCTAAGATCTCCGGTAACTGTTTAACAATATTCTACTTCGCGCGCGCGTGGCGGCCCCTGGGGGTCCCCGGACGAAAACTACCCCGGCCGATCCCCGGCAGATCCCCAGGCGGTCCGCGGCCAGGTCCCCCAGAAAGCTCCAGAGAAGGGCAATTTTTCGACACCCCTCACGAGGATTGTGGCTTTCGAGGGGGGGGCCGCAATCGATCACCCCTCCTCTCGCGCGCCGCGAGCTTCCCAAGAGGCTCCAGGGGCCCCGAAGACGCCGCCAAGGAGCTCCAAGAGGCCGCCAAAAAGCTCCAAGAGGCCCTTAAGAGCTCCCAGATGGCTCCCAGACGCCCCAACAGGCCCCCAAGAGGCGCCCCAAGAGGGCCCCAAGAGGAACAAATCGTCGCATTCCTTAGGCAAAATGTATATTTTAGCATATTCGCCACTTGAGCTTTCACAATGTAAAAAAGCGGCCCAAGAGGCCCCCAAGATCGCCCCAAGACGGCCCAAAAGGCCCCCAAGAAGGCCCCAAACCGCCCCAGAGGGCCCCAAAACGACCGAAGAGGCCTCCAAAACAGCCCAAGA